CTAACTGGTCCTAACTGCCTATTCCAGGCAATCCCACCCAAAAGTATTTTGCATTACAGTAGTAGCTCCCAGCAATAGATTGTTGCTGAAAATGTCCATTTCCTCTGCAGCTAGTGTGAGCATTGCAGCAAGAACTGAATAGTAGAGGAGTTGGAAGGAGGCCTATAAGGTCATTGAATCCAACTCCCTGCTCTGCTTCCACATGTGGTTACCCATCTGTCTGTAAGTCTGAGCCTTTTCAGCTTAACAAAGGTGACTCAATATGCTAGCTAAACTCAGAGGCAACAAAAGTCGGGCTGGGGGAGTAGATGAGTCTCTGGTGATCACATCCCAGAATTTCGATCCTGTGAGGCTTGACTCCACTACACCACTGCTCTCCCTGCCTATACATGCTTCTGGGTCAATCAGGAAGCATTGCTTTGACACTGTGGTCTTGTCTGTCTAGTCTGTTGTCCATGGTCCAGATATTTCTGCCTGTCACACTGCCTACAACTTCACTGCCTTCCTTTTCTCCTCGCATTCAGTTAGCTTTTCTGTTCATTTTCCTTTACATGTGTTTGCTGCCTACATTCTTCTTAATCCTCCTGCCCTCTTAGGATAAATGTCTTGGTCCAGATGCTGACTGGCGTTGCTTCTGCGTTGACCCTTTTATTGATTGGTGTGAGTATGCAATGTGAGTCTGGTCTTGCCAGAACTCAGACTTAGGCTGCTGTGTATGCAGGGCTAGAGTGATAGGGGTTTGGCATGGTAACCACTTAAAAATAGATGTCCACCATGGTACCCATCCTATTTTCTCCTCCCCTCCAAATGTTGCTTTAAATAACTCTTCTCATCAAACTGCAAATTTACTTTGTACACTTGGGAGTATCAAACACCATTTGTACATTCCTTAGAAGGAGCTGATACACAGAAACCAAACATGCATAATAACAGGGAGAAAAAAATCAAGATGAGTATATAACATCTGCATTGCAGCCCAAATCTTTTTTTGAAAGACTGTTTATGAAGGATTTATATGCTCACAGCTGCAAAACACAGGACTGATAATTCAGTGCTTTTGGGTGAACTACTTGGATTTCAGTATGATTTGCTTCTGAGAAAGCCTACTTAGTCTCTGTCACAGCCAGTTACGTTCAGCTATCATCAAAGCAGTCTTTTAGATTATCACTGTATTTTTAAAAACATGTTCTAGGCAGATACACACTTTTCAACTTAGGGTGATCTCCAAGTGGTGAACTAATTTACAGAACTGCCATCCTTCAAGCTGAGTCCTTCATCTGGATTACAGAGTCCACGGCACAGGGTGGATGTATCTTGCTTGACAACTGCACATACTAGATGGCTGAAAGTTAGAGGCAGTATACACAAGTGAAGAATTAAGTGGTAGAAACCACATCTTTGAACATCTTTGAACCACTTAAAAAACACCTCCCTGAAAACAGAAAACTAGTTTCAGGGTCTACTTTACCCTTCTAACTGCTGTACTGGTTTTCTTAGGTTTTTATTTGTAAAGGCACAACCTACATATATTGTAGACAGAAAAAAGTCCTATAACTCTCAGCAATTATCAGCTATACATGTGTGTATGCACATGTGGGTATTTAAATATAGTTTAGTATTCATCTCCACCTTTCATTCAAAGTGGTACAATAAATTCCACCTTCTCAGAATTCCACCATATATATAAACTGGCCCATGGCTGTTACTAGATGTACTGTGGAATACAGAATACACATTAGGAGTCAAAGTTAGACTGTGAACACTTCATTGAATTACACAGTACTTTTTCATACTTTCAGACTCATGATTCATAAATGACTCTAGGACTAGAACTAGGAACCTCATGGTGCTAATCTTTGCTCAGAGCCCAATGCAGCCACAGAAGGAAGAAGAGGTGTACCATTTCATAACAACATGACTGGCAGAAAGTATGAAACCTACAGATTGGTCAGTTCTGATATAAGTAGCAGATGCTGGACAGTCTGTCTTTGATCAACTGAGCAGTTCATGAGGCTTCTGCTCAAGATGCTGGCCTTTAAGGATCTTGGGTGGGATCCAGTGGGAATCCTACTCAAAGTAGATCATTTGAAATAAATGGGCCTTAATATAGAGTAATATTTGATGCAACCCCTTTAATTCAGAGATCCTCTAGATCTTGATTCAGACATTAGTCACTCAGGGCCCTGTCTTCGCCCTGAGGCATTTTTTTAACTGTGTATCTCTCTCCCATTTTCTCATACTTACTTTCCTTCAATTATTTTTCCTCTATTGAAAAAATAATGGTAGGAAGAAATAGTGATGTGACCCATTCAGTCATAAGTCATAACCCACAACTTGAAGACCAATGGATTAGGACACTGGTGGGCAGATTTCAGGCCTGTGGGATCTATTTTGGTTGGTTTGTCAGATTTAAAAAAATAAGAATCCCAAGCTGCAGTTTGGCACAAAAGAAATATACTTAGAACTAAAGAATTAAATGCACCAAGGTTTTTGCATGGTTTTGTTTTTTCCAAATGAACAGAGTTCACTGTTCTTCCTCATAAACATCTGCTTTTGGTCATCCCAACCAACCTTTCTTAATTTCAAAAGTTTAACTTAGGACCAGGGAATTGTTTTATTAGTACTACTATTAAACAATTTTAAGTTTAACAGTAATCTGAAATTCTTGTGTATCTAATACAAATCATCAAGTGATCTGCCAGCACATTCAGTTCTACCTTCTGCCCCAGTCATGATTAGGACAAAGAAGACCTAAACCAAATTTCAGAAGAGTTATGAAGGTAGGTCCCATGCACACAATGGTAAGGTCTGCTTATCTATATTGAGAACTGAAGTCAATAGATGTTAACTTTGCCCACATTCAAGAGTGTTGGGAAACATGAATGGGAACGTAACAGGTGCTGGCAAACATGAATGGGAAGGTGCTATTACACTCATGTTCTACTTTTGCACTTCTCATAGAAAGCTGGTTGGCCAATGTGTGAATGGAAAGTTGGACTAGAGAGATCCTTGGCTTGATCCAGCAAGGCTCCCCTTCTGTACTCCCAACCAGGGGTATGCACATGTGGTGCAGCCCCCCCTTCTTCCATCTACATTGCAAATGCATAATTGTCTTTGGAAGGGGAAAGAAAAAGGGGCATTGTACAAAGCAAGTGCATTTTTATACACAATTTGTGTCATACCAGGTATATCCATTCTGAGGGTGGTTCACACAATGTGACCCCCCCCCCCCAGTTTACTGGAGAAGTTGTGGCATGTGTGGTGGGTGTTGGGTCACTACTTCACATATCCAACCTCTGTTTTGGGGTTTCATCATGAGCATGGGTTCCATGAAGGCAAAACATTCCTTGCATAACCCTAGAACAATCTGTGGGTTATATGAAGATTGCTTACCACTCACATAACCCACAGTTGCCAGATGGCGCAGTCACCCCTGGATATGCAAAATGGCACTTACTGTAAATAAACCATGAAGAGCTATGCCAGGTGAAACAGGCCAGTGACCTGGTTTGGATGGGAAGGCAGCCTACCATGGGTTAACCAACCCTCAGGCTGCCACAGCATGAGTTGCCACCATTAGGAATATGCAAGCCCTTACTGAGGATTGCAGGGACTGGTCATGTCATCCAAACCTGGCAGCAAGGCTATTTGAGGGTGAAACAACACTTGCATAACCCACAGTCTGTTTTAGGGTTATGCACAAACTACCTAGCCCTCAAATAACCCCTGCTGCTCAGGTTCAGATAACAGAAGCCCTGGACACCCCTGGCTGGGGCTTGCATATTCATAGTGATGATTGGCACACAGCAGCTACTTATAAGTTAAACAAACTACTGAAATGCAATAATCTGAAGTGGTGTTAGGGAGGGCTGGAGCCCCAGATCTCTAGAAGACCATCTGCCTTCCTGCTGTCCACATGCCCTTGCTGAAAGGAAGGTACAAGGGCCCTGAAGAGCTCTGTTGTGTCTAATGCCCCTAGGTCAGCTGCCTTTTTGCCTAGGAGGTGCTTCACCTCCCGCTGCACTCCAACTTTTCTGCCCCCCCCCCCCCGAAATCAAAGGGCCTCCTGGCCGGTCCTTACATCCCTTTTTACACACTGGGATGTCCTTAGGAGACAGTCCTTTAATCTCTCCCTCTCATATCCACAGATTTTAGAGCATATGTAAATTAGTTCATGTACCCCCACTTTTTTTGGTCCTGCAGGTCTGAGCCCCAGATTTCTCAGAACTTCTGCCCATGTTGTGTGAACTGAGCAAACGAACCTGGTTCCAGCTGCCCGGCATACTAGGAACACTACTATTCAACCAAATGCCAGCCTCTGAGAATCCAAATGATGTTCATTAATGGCTGAAGTAGCTTTAAGCATTGGTAAGATGAAAAGTGAAAGCCATGAAGAGTCAAAGGCATCTAGGCACATCTCTTGTTCCTACACTGAATTACTGCAGTAACGATTTGGTTGCTTCAAAGGAACGTTGAGTGTGAGGCAATGTAGGGAGAGTTCAAACTTCTGCAGATAGAGGTTATGAAGGTTCGCGAGCACCCTTTCACACGTGCACATCCTCACTGGAAGCCGAAAACTTCGAGTGACGAACACGCCTGCGTTAAATAGCGCTGAATAACGTCCACCAACGTGTGAACCGGCCCTTAGGGGCGCCAATCCGGAGATGTTACGTGCATGTGTGAACTGGCCTTTCCCCGCTGCTGCTTTAAGAGCTCCCGCCTCCCACAATGCTATGCTGGTGTCCCAGTTCCGTTACACGGTATCTTCTGAAGGAGAGTGAGGCTGGCTTGCTGGGTGAGTGGGTGAAGCAGGCAGGCAGAAAAAGAGGAGGCGGGGAGAGCCGTAGCTACTGTAACCAGAGAGCTGTAGCGCAGCAGGACAGTCGGAGAGAGCTTGAAAGACGCAGAGAGGGGAAGGAGGCGGAGGAGAGGAGGTGGAGCTGCCCGGCCGGGCCCCGCCACAAGCCAGAGAGTGTGTCAGGGCGGGGACGTGGGGCGGTGGGAAGGGGGGAGGGAAAGCCAGCCAGCCAGCCCCAAACTCTGCTGCCCTCCGCGGCCAAATCCGCCCCGCAGCTCTGCAGCCAACTCAGCGTCTCCGCAACGAGAGACGGAGGAGAGGGCACGCAGAGTGCGTGCGTAAGGCAAGACGGGAACTCGCCCGGAGCCCCGCGAAAGAGACGGGGAGCCCTGTCCGCCTCGCCTCGCCCCCCGCTAGCCTCAGGCGCTTGCAGAAAAGCGCAGCTCAGCCGGTCTGCGCTGGAGCTGCTGCCCGGAGCCGGGAACGGAGGAAGGAAGGAAGTCAGTCCGGTTGCCGGGCTCGGTCCTTCCAGCCGAGCGGGGAGAGGCGGCAACTGCAGGAGGAGGTCTCAGAGGTGCTCGCAGCAACAGCCGCCGCCGCTTTTCTGCTCGATTTGGCTGGATCTTGTCGTGGAAAAGCTGTAAGTAGAAACTTTGGAGTTCGGCATCTCTCTCTTCCTTCCTCCTTTTTCATGTATCCTCCCCCTTTTTGGACTCTCGCGGGGGGGCGCCGTTCTCTCCCGGGGCTTCCTTCCCTCTCTCCGCGCTTTCTCAGTTCATTTCTCTGCTCACCCTCTTCCCTGCAGCGGTCTCTTTGCCCCTCTCCCCCCCGATTCCTGCTAGCTTTCTGGACTGCACTCGCCTTCCGTTTTGCGTACTTATCTTCCTTGCGTCCCATTTCCTTATTGCCCCCCTTCTAATGCGTCTGGGACGTCTTTCCTTCTCTCCTGTTTCTATTATTATTTATAATAATGATATCGTAGCCAGATCTTGTTCTGATTTAGAAGTAAGTGCCACTGAGTTCAATAGGACTTCTTTTCAGGTACATGCGCGTAGGTTTGTAGTCGGGATGTGTAGAAAAGCCAGAAGAATTTGTCCGTTTTCTGGAGTAAGGCAAGGCCAGTTTTTACTCAGCAGGGTATTTTTTAATTTCTTTTTTTTTAAATAAAAATTTTCGTATTCGTAAGGAAACTAGGTAGACCTACCCACCGCTCTGTAACGTGGATAGCTTGTTACACCCTCCTCCCGCTCCCAGTCTCACCTCTCCGTGTAAGTCAGAAAAGATCAAGGCAGCGATCCTACGCACGTGTAGCCGGAGCCCTATTGAATTCAGTGGTACTTCGTTCTGGGTAAGCAAGCATGCGTCCGGCTGCGGCAATAAATCAGCGTGTGTGGGTGGATCTTTTTTTTTTTTTTTTTTTGGAACAGTAGTGAGTCCAGGCTTGAAATCATCCAGTTTAACCTGACAGTAGAAAGGGTTGAACATTACGGTTACGTTCAATAGATTTTTGATTTGTTGACTCGAGGCAGCAGCAAGTCCTCCTTTGTAAAGGTCTGGGATGACTGTTTCTATGACTCACTGATAATTGTACAAAGTTGTGTGTGTGAGTGAGTGTGTGTTTCTGAACTAATCCTCTGCTGCGCCGCGAAACATTTTCCTCCTCAGTCGGATGTCAAGTCAATGTGAGCAGCATTGCTGTTTGCTAAATTGCAAGTGGATATTGCTCCTGGATTTGAGCTTTGTGTATAAATAAAAATGCAATAGGGAAGCTACACTTTTGAAAATGCCCTGTAGAGTTACACCTGTCACATCCTGCCTTGGATGGCAAAAATGATACCACGCCTGTGCAGAGATGGGAGGGGAGAGCGAACAAAGATTGCCTGGAATAATTGCAGCCCTGACAAAAACATGCTCTCTGTCTGAGCTGTGGAGTTATGAAGTCTACCTTGTGCCATACTGGATTTTGCATCATGGCCAGGCAGCAAGCATCACTACTAGTAAAAATTAAATGCCTACTGGGCTGTGAAGTGGCAGGAAGTAAATTAATGTCCATTGATTTCCATGAAGGCACCAGAATTTCCAGCTGACTGTTGACAATGCTTTTGCTCTGGTTTATGCAGGACCGAAGTACTTAAATCTTCTAATCTGGTTAATTTGAACTTTGATTCGCTAAGGGGAAAAAAGAGCTTGTTGCATTTCTCAAAGTTTATTTTCTCAGTATGGTTGCTCCTAATATTAGTATTACTATTTATACAAAACTAACATACAAAATAATACAGTGCAAAATATGAAGGAGCATAAATGCAATATTATTGATTAATCCAAAGTTGCAGTCTTCAGTGTGTGTGCATACTCATGCGTAAGTTAATTGAATATTTTTTGGAGCGTCACTTGTTTATTTAAACAAGACTGTGATACTGAAAAGTATTCTGGCCTCTATCCATATCTAGATAACAGTTGAACCCAGTAATATGCACATAGCTTAGGGCAGTAGGTGGAGCTGCATGTTCCCATCCTTAGTGCAGTGGAGACAGGAATGCATATCCTTATCCAGCTTTTGGAAGTGCAAATGGAGTGTGCAATGGATGTGTTGCATCTGAATGCAACAAATATGGCCCTGGATCCATTATGGGGATTTGTGTATGAAAGATTATTCCATCTACTATGAACCCCTGGTAGAGTGGGGCATCTGACACAAGTTTCATATGTGAGATACGCAGATCCATGTCTTGGTCAGGAGTGACTGAATGCACTGAAGGAATATATGTTCTCTGTTGCTGACTTGCAGTCCAGGAACTTTCTGAGGCTTGCCCAAATCTTTTCTGGAAGCACTGCAACAAGCAAAATTAAAGGCCATGTTCAGAAACAATGACTGTGTTTGCATGGTCACCATAGTTTCCGTCTGAAATGCCGGGTGCCATTTTCGTAATTACTTGCCCTGGTGCATCTTGTCATGTCCAAACCTGGGGTGTCGTGGCTTCTTGAGCAGGGAGGGAAAGGGAACCCTCAAAAAACCCATGGCCTATTCATAGTTTATTAAGCATGCCAATTGGGCCAGTTTGTGAAATTGCAAAATAAAACATGATTGGTTCAGAAAAACAGCAAAAGTGTTAAAACTAGTGGTTATATGTTAAACGTTATTGAAGAAATTCACTCATTCAGTAGCTAAAAGAGCTGCGTATTGGAGATGACTAAAAGAGGGAAGACCTGTGTTACCTCCTAACTGGCAAAAATATAGTCTTCATAGAAGAGCATAATAGTTTGCATCTATAGATTTGATTTTAAAGAATAAATTTGTTAATCTTTTAGAAATTTGCAGTACATAGAAAATAAATAATTCAAGTGTTATAGGAACTACTTGTGTGGGCTAGGTTTTGGTAATCATACTTTTAAGGTACAGTCCTGTTCATATTTTGCAGGAATTGAGTTCTACAATTTCCAACCAGCTGGATTTGGTTTCTTAAGCAGTATAAGTAGGATGTGCTAAAACTGATTTCTGGTGAAGAGAACGCCACTGATAATATTCCCATTAAGAATTGCCTGAAATATTCTTATGGTTGTGGCTAGTTTTAGCTATGTTAATAATGCAGAGGATATGTTTATCAATGGCTGTTGGCTGTGAAAGCTGGGAATGGAACATCTTGTCTCAGAAGCAATACACCTGTAAGTACCAGATGCTAAAGAAAAGCAAAGGAAAGGCCACCATCTTCATGTCCTGTGTGAAATATGCTGAGGCATGAGATTGTCATTTAGATTCTAAAGAAAAATGAGTTAGATCCTGAAAGACAAATCATACAATCTTGAACAATTTTCAAAACAGTTGAGAAAATGAATTAGTTGACGCTGAAGAGGACTGGTTTCAAAGACCCAATATAGGGCACAATTGTCATGAAAAGCCAGTGATGAACTTCAGTGTGTAAAAAATAAAGTTAAAAATGGAACAAATAGAAACATTTGTAAAGATTATTGAGAATGGTTATCACTAATTATGGAGGTATTTTGACTTCCTTTAAAGTTAGTAGAACTACCCTGTACCTTTTAATCACTTTGGCAGGAGGAATGGAGATCCAGATAGCCATATTCAGATGGAAAATTCAAAATTTGCTCAGTATTTTTCAGTAACCAAAGATGTGGCAATTATTTGCTCTGAAGGAGAGTTTTTTGTGGAACAAAAAGTCAAATTTTGCCCTTGTCTGATTTCCCTGCACGTTTGAATATGCCATGTTATTGAAGCATCATCCCAAAACTTGGCTTCAGATAGGATCTTCAATTAGAACAAATGTAGTGTGAGCCTAGACACATTTGCTTGAAAGTAAGGCTGACTTGTACTCAGTTAAGCTAGACTTTCTCCCAAAAGTAGTGTGCATAGAATGGTAGCTTTTGGTTAAAATGTTAAGTACTTAATTCATTTCTGACAATTAATATTGTCTTACATTTCTGTATCCCTGAACCTCATGAGGATCTCTTTATACTGATAAAAAAAATTAAGGCCTTTTACTGTGCTATGTCAGTTGATGATGTCCCTGCCACTTACAGTGGCTGGCTGTTCAGCCTGATCTTATGCAGACTTAGATGGCACTTAAGCTCATTTAATTAACTTAGTCTGGCCTAACCATGTATAGTGGGGAATGGGGAACTTGTTGGCCAAAATGCCTGGAGGGCTGCAATTCCAATAGGTCTTAGCCAGCAAAGCCCATGGTTAGGGATGAACGAGAGTTGTAGTCTTCAAGTTGCTTTGCCTACTCCAGACATATAGGATCAGGGTGCTGAAGTAATAAAGATTGAAAATGTGCAGAATCTTGTGCAAGGGGGAGGAATGGGATTGAAATAACATATCACTTCTGGATTTACTGTTTATTGAGTTGTCTTTAATAACTGATTTCTTGACTCATAATTCCAGTCCTCTCATCAGTGTGAGTTTTTTTTTTTTTCCATGTCAGTGCATGCAAGATGCTTGTTTCCCTAGACTTGCATTCTGAAGAGGTACCATGAGCACAGAAGCTAAGAGGATGTGTTGTGAGTTGAGGAGGAATTCCTTTCAAACCTTGCCTCTCCTATGAATTTACTAGGTGGTCTTATGTGGCTCCCTGTTCTTTCATCCTCGGCCTTCCATTAGTGATACCAGGTTGTGATATACTGGCCTATGTTGCCTAAAGTTTGAGGATTGCTAACAGGAAGTGCTCAGAACATTTGAAGTGCACTAAAAATGTTAAGTAGTCTGTAAACCTTGAGAGACAGAGCAAAGAGAGTAAAGGGTGGAATGAAATGGTGTATTAAACAAGATACTTAGTAAATCTAATCAAGTCACAATGTTTTAAATTAGTTTGTCCTATTTACTTGAATAATATACTCAAAAACAGGATTATCTCCAACAAAAGAAATTGTAATGCTCTCTGCAATCCAAGGATTACCAAACAAAGCATCTTGCTGTGCAATATTGTCCTTGCATTCAGTATTGTATGATAACACGTGTTACTCAGCTGTTGTTGATTTCTCAGTGGCATAGACTTCAAAGGAAAGCTGTGAAAGAAAGCTGTGGCAAGAGAAAAAAGAGGGCTGAATCTCATTGATCAGTGCCATCCAGCTGCTGAAGTACTTTGCATGAGCAGCAGCTGATAGCTCAAGCATCCAGATAAGGCT